TAAAATTTGTATTTAATTCCCAATATTGTAAATTGATAGATTCAAAAACTTGATAATCGAGTTTTTGTTTGATTTTGCCAAGCACTATCCATGATTTGGTTTCTATTATTTTTGTTAATAAGGTGAGTTTGGTGGTGCCTCTTGTATTTTTTTAAGGCCAAATTGAATAACACTTCAAATTCTCTTTGGTGTTGAGGTATAGCTTGCTTGTCTCTAGTGAATAATTTGAAAAAAGCAGTATCAAGATAGTTAAATTTTGTGTTGATTAATATAGGCAGATTATATAAGGTAGGCTGAGTAGTAGCTTTGTGTTGGAGAAAAGCAGTTAGTCTTGTACTGTCTTGTAGTGCTTCAAGTATTGCATTATTTTGCCATGTTATCTTGTCAAATAGCTGGTTTCTTTGTATAATTGCAACTATAATTTGTCGATTTTATAATAGTGTAGGTTCGATTTGAGGATCAGAATTATTTGAGGCTGGGGTGTTCTGTAATGCTTGGCTATATAAATGGAGTGGGATGGGTGTACTTGGGAGTGTTGTTGGTTCAGTTGTTGTTGCTGGGGTTGTGGTGTTAGCTTGGATCAGGTCTATGTCCATTTGTGTAGATAGTAGGCTATTGTTGTCCTGATTTGGGTCGGCTAATGTTGATCTGTTTTGATTTGTTTGTGGAAATAATTCCATGGAGTCCGAGTTGGTAGAGTCAGGTTTGCTTTGTATTGGGTTTGTTGTTTTGTTTAGCTAACTAATAGGGGGTGTTGGGGTCATGTGACTCCAGTTGATCTGCAGTTGGAGGTGAGCTGGAATGCCCACTTTTTGTTTTGGTATATGGGTTGTATTATAGGTTGGGTTGATAGGTTTTGTTGGTGTTGGTTCATTTGATAGTAGATGTTGAAGGTGGTGGTGTTGGAGCTTCAGGTGGGTTTTCTGGATCAACTGTATCAGTGGGGGATGTGGAGGTCCCAAAGAGTGTGTCAGAAACTGATCGAAGAAGTGATTTGCATTGTGACATAGTTTTGTAGGCTCCAAAGGAGCTATTGTGCCAGGAGGTGTGTTTTTACTACTCAAACTTTTGTGTGCTATGTTTGTAGTACTGTGATTATACTGTTGTAGCTTAGGCTCGTACTTGAGTAACTTTATTTATTGATAGGATTATTTAACGGGCTTTGTTATCTATACTTTGTTTACTTTTTAGTCAATTTTTAATTTCCTATGATTTTCAGGGGAACGGGAAAGAGTTTTTTAAATGTTGGTTAGTTCTAGTTTTAACTGATAATTGTTTAATTAAAATTTTACATCGCAGCGAACTATTAAAGACGCGATGTAATTTTACCTTTTACTTGCAGATCATGCACATCTATGGGCATACATGACTGCGCATCCGTGAACCTATAAAGATAATTTTCTAGCGTGACAACGGTAAGAACCTATAAGTATCATATAAGTTGGGACTGTAATTGGTTTGTCAACAAGTAAAAGACAATAAAATATAATTTATGCTACTAGAAACTTTGTTATTGAAAGATTCAAAGATTCGATATTGAATAAGATGCTATGAAAGATGAACTTTCAAAGTTTCTCAAAATTGAAAAACTGCATAGTATATGATCTCTAATGATGCGGATAAGAACTTAGCTTAATGTTGTACATAATATTTCCGTGATATGAGCTACAAAAAAACGACACAATTTGCTTTATAATTTTAAATAGATGGAGGACGTGTAACTCAAGAATTTACCTTTACGTCCGAATGTAAATGATTTTACAGATTTTACTAAATATTTAATATTGAAATAATTCATTTACACAGATTAACGATCTTTCGGCTGCCTAAATGCCATAATTACTTTTTATTAAGATGGGCAATTTATTTTTTAAAGAAAAACTTAGGTTTTTAATATTGGAAATTCACAATGCAATTTCGTTTAAATTAGGAATTAAGAATTTATGCAAGTAGCGTAAACTGCAAAACATGAATTAAGCTATGAATTATCTCAAATGTTTAATTAATTCATCAAATGCATCATTTATATTTTTCCATTTCCCTTCTACACAAAATCCACACCACCTTTCAACGAATATCAATATACTTAACATAAATTTGTGTTCAGTAGCATAATCAAGAATAAACAACGAATAATATAGATGTTGCATTATTAATGGAAATAGAGTAAAGAGATTCTGTGTGTTCTTGCGTTTGCGTGAAGAAAGAGAAGCTGAAGAATGTAGGGCCCTAAGAATGTCACAAAGCTTTTCAAGTTTTTATTATATAGAACGGTAATGTAAAAACAATAAGTTTAATAGTACTTTAATAAATGTATAATTGAGAATGAATTAAAGTAACTTACTTTCTCCATACCAGAGATGGCCTTCTTGATCACCACTCGCCTTAGATTAATTACTTTCAAATCCTCTTTTGTAATACTTAAGCGACACCAATAAAATTTTTTATCATTAAAGAACCTCTTTTCTTTAATTTTATTTAACTTTTCGCGGGATATAAGCAAAACATCTGTTATATTTTCCATTTTTGCAATTGCCATGAGAAAATCCTGCTGGAATAGACTATCTTTCTGATCTTCAATTAGTTCTGACCAATCGCCTAATGTAAACCTGCCATTTTGTTCTATAATATGGGCAATCTTCCAACAATTCCAGGTAATGACTATTAACCTAGTACTTTCCTTCAAAAGCAAGGGGATAGGGTGGAATCTAGAGTTATAATTGGATATCCAAATTTCATAATTTCGTATTATTTCATCGTTTATAAAAAATTGTGAGCCATCAATATCGATCACGTCATTGAGTGCTTTAGATTTATATCTATTCCACAAAACAACTAAAAGACAAAGATAATATTCATATAATGGGTTAGACTTTATGGATGTGATGAGATAGTTTGCCTCTCCATGCGCTATGCGATCTCTTAATTTAGGACCAGCGTTATGAACAAAAAGATCAAGCATAAGATCCTTTTTATTGTCAAGTCAGTGAGATAAATTATGAATTTTATTGGTAACACGAATAGCAAAAAACAAGTTACTGTATTTACGTACCATAATACCGCCTTCAAACTCCTCGTAAATTTGATTTTTAGGTTCCTTGTCCTCAATTTCTTTTTCTAGACCATAATACGCCAAAGCAACTTTTTCTTCCAAAATAATGTCTAAGGTTAAAAAATATTGACCAACTTCTACAGTACCTAATCTACGCTTTTGCACCCCATTCACACAGACAAAAATTCTACGCAGACAATGTTCAAAAAGGGGTAGTGAAAGAATTAGAAAAAGAATTACCTGATTACAAGATAAGAAGTTAAGTGCAAGAGACCAGGTTGAATGTGTTTGATAAATTATGAAAAAGTTCTTGTAAAGCAAATTTTTTAATATATGTAAATGAGGGTATTGAGGTGGCACAGCTATTGATTGTTCAAAGTTAACGTTAAATAATAAAATAATAATAATAATAATAATAATGATTAGATCAAAATATCTTTATAAATACGAACATTGACTAAACATGACACGTTCGTATTCTTGATCAAAAATTTTATCAATCTCATCGCTAATAATGATATTTTCTGCAATAATGTTGAGTTGAGATAAATGAAAAAAACCTTCAAAATTTGCACCATCTCTTTTCTTTAATGAATCTATCAAACCACAAAGCCTTACTCTTTGACAAATAGTTAGAGTGATTACTATAACGAGAGCACAGTACCATTTAGCGGGAATAGGTAAAAATTCATTAGGACTAATAAATCCATGCCAAAGAATATTTCTCAGATTCATTGAACTTGGGGGGCCAATTAAACAACGTAAGAAAAAAATTATATCTTCTCCCAACAAGGGAACAAGTGGTTGAGCAATAAGAAGGTCACGAATAAGAGATGGAATAATAAATGTATCATTATGAATGGAAAATATTATCTAATTTATAGAAAGAAAAATTATAGATGCGCTTTTGATTTAAACCGTTAAATAAATAAATCACATAATCACATACATCACCCAATATCCTCTCTAAAGATGAAATTCCCAAAAGAAGTAATGTGAAAAAATCTTGTTTATGATATAAATCTACGCACTTGACGAATATCTGTGAATATAAGATTTCTTGTTGTAATAACGATTGATAAATCCACTTTAAATAATTATTATTATTGTATCATACATCATTATAACCGCACCACTCCAACTCTTTAGTGTATAAGTCAAAAAAATCATTAGTTGTTGATATGTTAGAATCAATGAATTGAGCTGCCTCTTTTGCGACAAGTTTTATTTTTGGCGATGCTTTATCGAAAGCTTCCGCCTCTGAAGTGTCAAACGGGAAAGAATCTTACAGGTAAAGTGAAAGATGTGTAAGCATTGGTAAACTTTGATAAAGTCGAGGTACCCTGAAATTTTATACATACTTTCCCGAATGTTAATTATCGTTTCTTGTCGAAATAATCCATTACTACAAATTACATTCTCGAAAGAGCCATCGATACCAACCACGGCTTTTGGCAAAATCAACTGTGCCACACGTGTGCTTAAGCAACTCTGCCATTGGTGAGAAGCCCTTTCAAAATTTTTTTGATCATTTTCATCAGAATGCACAGAAATTTGTAATATTTTGCCCAATTTGAAAGTTTCGATTAAAGGGTTTATTAACGCCATGCCAAAGAATGAAGGTGATTGATGTAAATGATTGGTGCGGTCTATTCAAATCCCGTATCGTCATCTGACCAGATTCTTACACGTTACACGAACCTGTTCACTTGTTCAAAATCCTTTGGAGGAAGGAGTCAAATACAGTATACAGTATGATATTCTTTTTTTCAGATGAGGGTAATTTGTTAATCGAAATACTCTATTAAGTCAAATATTTGGGCAATTTTGTGTCGAAATTCGGTTTGACATGACATTATTTTTTGTCGAAATGTCAAAATTCTAAATTTGACTACTATATATTAGTGTTCCAAATCGTTAGTTGAAAAACAAACTGGTTGCCAACTTTCCAACTAATCGATTTGAAAAATTTTCAAACAACTAAACAACTAATTATTCAATTAATATAATTCTGAAATATTCCGCTTATTCGGGATAATTCATAATGATTTCTTGGATTTGATTGGCTAATACGTATCTGGAATATCACGTGAAATGAATACGTAATCGATTAGTTGGCAACTAGTTGATTAGCAAAATTTTACCAACTAGGAACACTACTGTATATGACTAAATATCTAAATTAGTGATAGAGAGGGCTGTATTAAAGTAACTGATTTTTGAATTGATAGTAATCCAGATCCAGGTATAGATATTTAGCATAGTGAGTACTGTGTAAGAAAATTTTCAAGCAGGTATCATTTAAAAAATCGCACCCCTCTAAGTGCACGCCCTCGGGACTATAGTGAAGAAAAAACAAGATGTGCACTTAGAGAGGGTGTACATCTAGAGATGTTAAAATTTATAATTATTGTATTATTTGGGACCAAGAGAGGTGTGCACTTAGAGAAGTTTTTCATATACCGTGCACAGGGTGCGACTGTATAATTAAACCTGCTTGATAAGGGCAAGCAACCGTTTTTGAATCAAATTTATTTTTAAGTAGTTGAAATCCACAAGTTTGGATAAAGAAGGATACTATTTCATAGACGAAAATTACTATTAAATTTATTATAATTATAAATCTTTCTTCCCTCCATAGCAAACTATTTTTATCTTTCTAATAAAAAATGTAGAAAAATCTTTTTTATATTAGTGCTGTCAAGGAAAAAGGGTTACTTTAGACTTTATTAAATTTTTTTTGATCAAAGGTATCTCAACAACTACTTGATTAAAATTGATAATAATTTTTTTATTTGAATTCTAAAAAACTGTAAAATTTAAATAAAAAATTATAGATATCTTTGATCAAAAAAATTTCAATAAAGTCTAAAGTAGCCCTTTTCCCTTGGTAGCACTTATATATAATATAAAGAAATTATTAAAATTGGTTTAGTAGATAAGATATTTATATTTTATTTTTTGTAACTACCGTATTTTTGCATAATAACGCTCACCTGCGTGTTATTTTGGGTTATTTCGAGTACGCGCATGAGCTTTATTTTGAGACAATTAAAAAATTTATATAAAAGTAAACAAACAAAAATACTAGATTTAGTACTAACCTTCCTTTGAGCTTTAACAAAAGTTGTTTTGAATAACCATTTTTGGTTGAAGTTCGAAGGTTTACTTAATACTAAATCCAGTTCTGAAGTATTTTTAAATCTTACTATAAATAGACATCCTTTACTATGGGGTGCGCGCTATTTTGGGACGCACATGAGCGTTATTTTGAAACTATATATATTATTTATTTTCGAAATAACGCTTATGAGCGTTATTACGCGAAAATAAGGTATATAAAATTTTTATAATTGTAGAGAAAAAAAGATTTATTCACCATAGTAAATTATACTTTCGTATACATCAGACCTCCCTAAATGCATATTCTCTAAATGCATAGTCTCTCTAAATGCATGGCCTTGTTTGGCCCCAACTCATAT